GACATAATCGTTCCAGCCAAACTTTGCAGTTTCTTTGTTCTGTTGCACCTGCCTTAGATAGATTTCAGCACTTTCGAGGGGATTTTTATTAAAACTGTTTGATGATTCAGTAGTTATTATATGAGTAAATGTATTTATATTCATTTACTAGTAGTATCATATGTATCCAGTCTACTAATGCTCCGGCCACTTGATATCATTGTGTTGCTGATTTACGTTTTGTTACTGCATCGATGAAGAATACGTGAAAGAAGAACTATTATTTTCTTTCTGAGATATCAAAAACGATTATAGTAAAAAAAAATTGTATATTTCTTAGAAAACCGGAAGTCATTTCAGCAATATCTAGCCGCTAAACTTTGAAGCGATTATAAACTTCGTTCGATGTCTCGTCTGCTCATAATTGCATGATGACAATGAAATAATTTAGAGAATACACCGCCTGATCTAAAAAGAGACGATTTCTGCTAAGTATTTAAGGGGATGCTGAGGAAGAGATCGTGTTATCGTCTCATATCAGTTCCGTTTGACACAGACTGAGAAAGAAGCAAGCTTTATTTGTGATGTTTGCGCCAATATGGCAGCACGCTTTTTAATATCGCTTTGTAGTTTAGTCATTATCCACCATCTATTGCCAGTCCTTCAGACCAGCAATAGCAACGGACGAAATACTAAGGATCTTTACATTCTGAAAAGCAGTAATGGGGAACATAACATCTTCAATGCACTTCAATCAACACCGAATTTCCCGCCAAATTCCGCACGCGACTCCAGGACGGCCCTAAAGCGTGTCCAGGTGAGTTTAGTCTTCAGATTTTCTGAAGCGGTAACAAAGCACAGTAAGCATGGAATGACCGTTCTGGCTCTACCAAGCTGTCTACTTTGCACAGATCTCACGATACACATGGATATTCAAAGAATCCGGGTCCGGAAAGGACAGGAAACTCTGCTGGAAGCCACACGAGTAATGGCTCGCAGAATCTGCAATCCAATTAAATATTTAAGACCTGAATTGATACACTCGAGGTTAAGACGTGCTATCTTAGACGACATCTTTCGCAAGATAAAGAATATGGATATATTGAGAACCCGAAGAATTCGATCTGTTCACGCTGTTCGTAATTGCCACCCAGTCAGGAAACCGAAATATTACTTTTCCAAAGACGAGTGCTACAGGAGTGAATCTGCATCAGGCGATGTGCGCACTCTGATTGCGTTGCATTATGGTCGTAAAACTAAAAAGCGAGTCATTTACATCCTGTCGCGGTCGAGTAATAAACGTGGAATGTAATGGGGATTCACTCTCTGTTGCCGTTCCTTCGAAAGTTAAAAAGTGTTTTTCCTCCGTGACAAATTTGTTATTAGGAAGCAACTGAAGAGATTCAGAAAGAATCGAAACTGCGGTCTTGCCCAAGAACCTATTCATTTAGCAGCAGTTACACCCAAAGCCGATGGCTGTGTGAATAATATCAAATTTGCGAGTTATTTAACGGGGAATCGACCCTTGACGTACAAACGCATTATAACACAAAGAGACAGCGACCTTCTAATACACGAACTACTTTTCATGTCATACACTTAAAGGCGAAAATACAGGATTCACGAAAGGAGAAGCCTTACACCTCCCAAGACCAAATTCGTCACGCTCAAAGTTTAATAAAAATGTACAGAGTTTCAAATATGCTTAAAGAATCAAGAATACCGAGAATGAGGTTTTGAGAAACGTATCTTTGAAGTTATTTTACGCGGAAGAGACAGTATACCTGAAAACGAAAAAAATAGCGCGCACATATGAAAATATTACCTTTGGTAACACAATCTCATCCGGCTGTGCCAAACCTCAAAAAGACCAAGAACATACAGATGGAGAAATGAAACCTTAAAACTAACCTTTATTATCACATCGCAAACAAAAGTCATTAAAAGATATCCTAATAACAGCTAAGCTTTCAAGTCAGAAGATTTAAAAGCGCAAGCGAGTGGCAGGAGTCGCACAAGGCAATCAACATCTTTTAACCATCCACTACCTTCTGATTTCCGGTTATCCAGCGTGTCGCCGTGTGCATTGTAGATTGTTATTTATTGGCCAAGTGACTCCTTTCGTTGCTCTAATTCATCATTCCTTCATTCAATGATCAAGATAGTAGATTTACCATACAACACTCGCCATTAGTAAATTTCCTTTTACCTAGGAAAGTAGATTTACAACACAGGGGAGTATACGATGGTAACGCTTTGTAACGCAACTGGCCTGATCTTGGCCATAATCGGTCTCAAACACTATCACTTAAAAAGCGAGAAATACACGTACCGTTTGAGAGCGTTTGAGAGCGTTTGATCAGAGCTGTTGAAGAAGGATCAAAGCGGCCATCCAAATCTTTGAAAGGCTCCAAACTACGACGTACATCAAATTTGACCTTCTCGAAAACCGGTCTCCGAGTCAAATTACTTACTGGAAAAACAGTGATTGCGTTTGTCCTTGGGGAACCGTAGAATACGCGACAAATACGGACAAAAATACTGTTACACATTCAGAATAAATCAAATTACATTTACCTATGGTGAAAGGAAAAAATAACGGCCTAACTTTTACGGAATGGTCGGTCAAAATCTGCCGATTTTTGCTGCTTTCACCGCCATATTGAAAATGAAGCTACCACAATGCAACGTAGTCGGAGTGCGCACACCGCCTGAATCTGCATAATCTGTGTTCAGTGAAGCGAATTGAGTCAGACAAATGGAGCGTCAAATACTAGTTACACCGGGCCTGAAATCGTCTACCTAAATATAAGATCGCTCAAAAATAGCGCCCATTTTTCAGCGCTATGGCTTCTTGCTTCAGAAAGGAAACCGATATCATCAGAATCTCTGAAACTTAGCTAAACACTCACAACCCTGGAGTTGTGACGCGGAGGAGTCTGCGCTTACATTTGGAAAGAACTTAAAGCCACTTTACTGAAAGAGCTCGCCTATAAGTCCGAGAGAAATTTCCATCAGTTATGGTTGTGCCCAGTACAATAAATTTAAATCGATGGTGATCTGCATCACGTATCGCTCAGACGACTCTCCCCTCAATTCCTTTGATGAGGTCTTTAAACCCAGCAAGCCTTACATCCAAGCCTTACTGCTCAACAAGCCTATCTTAATTTTAGGCGATTTGAACTGTAACTATCTCAAGAAAACCTACTCTGAATTTAAAGCATTGGAGAAATTTTACACCGAAATGAACTCGATACAGCTCATTTAAAGCCAGCTAGGATCACAGAAAACGCTGAATCGTTGCTTGACGTAATCCTAGTTTAGGCCGACACGCTTGTTCGGGGTTTTGGGGTTTTACATTGGCCCATTGGCGACCACTCAATTGCCTTTGTGAAACTCAAAGTCAAGCCGCCAAAACTTCTTCCCCACAATTTGTAAATGTCCGCAGCCATTAAAACTATAGCCCTAACATCTTTATGGTAGACCTAACCAACAAGGCCGATAACCTTCTACCAATTTTTGGTGCTAGCGGCGTGGACACCAAGCTCAATACATGTAATGATACTCTACCGTCCGTTCTAGACATCCATGCTCCCATGAAATCCATTAAGATTCGTATCAGATCTTGTCGTTTTGTCAACCAGGAAATCAAGGATCTCATGAAATCTAGAGATGGCGTCCTCAAACGATTTCATCAAACACGGGACGCCGTTGACTGGGCTAATTTTAAAGAATCACGCAACTTGGTTAAGAAAACCCTTCTTGAAGCTGAGAGAAACCACACTTTCGAAGAAGTGACACTGCATCAGAAAAATCCCAATTCTCACTGGAAGATAATTAATCGCGCTCTCCATTTCAAAATCAAGGAAAGGCAAATTTATTCAAAAGATCTGAAATACGTAGCAAATTAATTCAACCAGTTTTTTGCAGCCATCGGTAGAAATGCCGTAGAGGCCTCCTTGTGCCTTGCTAAGAAGAACAACTTGGCAATCCCCGATGAGATAAGCGTCGACCTCCCTCCCATCGATGAGCTTTTTAATCTCAGGACCGTGACATGTGAAGAAGTACGCCAAGTTGCAATGTCTCTGCCACTTAACAAAGCGCCTGGTCCTGATAAATGGAGCGCACACTTAATCAAGGACTGCCTACCCGTCATCTTAGGCCCTCTGACTGAGATCATAGATTGCTCCATTCTTACCAGTACATTCCCAAAGAAGTGGAAAGAAGCCGAGGTGATACCTATCCTTAAAGACATAGATCATGAAGAAGCGGCCAATAACCGACCACTATCACTGTTAACAGTCGCGTCTAAGGTTTCAATTTAAACTTTTTAAGGTTGACCCCAAATTATTTTTCTATCTTTCTCCTGTTTCTTAGAAAAGCGGAAGTGTACACGCGAATAATCTCGATTGGCTAGTTTTTATAACCTCAGAACAAATGGATGTCTCTTGATAGAAGTAATGGCCTGTAATTGGGAGCCAAGATTACGTGTGACTCAAGGTAAAAGCCCCGTCATAACGGTTGGAGCAGTTGTGGAGTTTCACACTGAAATTCAGAGTGCGCCACAAATAGTTCGCAATCCTCAAAATCCGATGAGTCAAATGGCAAACTTTTGGAGGGATAAACAAGGAGCACTGAGGCGAAGAATTAACGAATACTGCACGAATGGATTGCATAAAGAAGATTTCATGAATGAGGCCTTGACAGAAGGATATGAGTTATAAGTTCGTGTTAAGACCTTGGAACAAGCTGTTAGAGAAGTACGACTACGCCTGGAACATCCAAAAAAACGGAGAGATCCGACATATACCGCCTTGAGGAAAGAAAAGTTTAGTCATGCGTAGTTTATGATGACGATGCCTTTCTTGTTGACCATGATGCGTAACTTTATAAGTTAGTACTAGCTTGTTTCCATTTTGCTCAAAAATGTTCACTTTCTGTTGGACGGGGCTCAGGGTGTTTCTACATTGGATAATTCAGCTTATGTATTGGTATGTCAATGAATAGAAGAAGAAAGATGGTATATTGTTACCATATTTTATTATATGGGCATGCTCTCTTTTTTAGGTCCAAAACATTGTCACATTATCGTTAAATGTAAACGACGCGATTTTGACATGGTACCACAAATTTAACAGTAAATTGTAAAACCTACGAAGGCTATGCATGCATATTGATGTTGCTGTAGAAGGCCTACATAGAAAACTAGCTTTCCTTCACTTTTCACTGCTTTCCTTCCGAGCCCAATACGGCCAGTTCACGAGTTTTTTACATGAATAACATCTTTGTTGAAAATAAAGTACATTATGTTCTCATGAGTGCAGCACAAAATCCATCCCGTGGGTCAAAATTAAGCATTTAAAGTATTTTACAAGTGGTCCCTCGATCACGCAATGGCCGTTTCGGACCTTCATCTTTCAACTGTTCGTCATCGACCAGGTTCTGACCGATGATGAGTGCTAGATCATAATATTCCTTCGCCTTTTCCGGATCACCAAGTTCGACATGAACGTTACCTAGGTTATTGTAAGTGGCTGCAACGTGGACATGCTCAGGTCCAAGTTTATCCAGATTAATGGCCAGTGCAAGATCAAAATAATCTTTAGCTTGCTCTAGTGAATTGGACATGAGATAAACAATACCCAAGTTATTGTATGTAGTTGCCACATCAATATGTTCAGGTCCGAGCTTCCTCGTTCGAATGGCCAGTGCACGATCATAATAGTCTTTCGCTTGCTCTAGATTTCCCAATTGTCGAGATACGTTTCCTAGGCTGCCATAAGTAGCTGCGACAAGAATATGATCAGGACCAAATTGTTTTAGACGAATTCTCAGGGCATGATTGTAATATATCCTTGCCTGCTTTGGATGACCCAATTCACTATGAACGTCTCCTAGATTATTGTAAGTAGTTGCCACATGAACATGCTCATGCTCGCCCATATCGTGAATAATAACCAGTGCAAGTTCATAATAGCTTTTCGCTTTCTCCAGATCTCCTAGGCCAAGGTGGATGTTACCCAAGTTCCCATAAGTAGCTGCGATATCGACATGCTTGCGTCCTTGTTCTTTCAGTCGAATAGATAATTCACATTCAAAGCACTTTTTTGCCAGATGAAACTCGCCAAAGTCTTGGTGAATGGTACCCATGTGAAAATTGGCGATTGCTGCATCAACACCTCTAAAACGCTTATCACATTTGGTGATTTCCAATGCTACATGAAAGTACTTCTTCGCTGTATAAAAGTCCAAATGGTTTTGGGCCACTTGCCCAAGATTTCCAAACATGCCTGGAAGACCCTGAATGTTAAACAATTCCTCTTTGAGGATTTTGGGTAGTTTCTCTGTGCAGAAAAAGTCTTTAATTTTCAAAATGAAGGATTTCAAATGGGGAACAAGTTGCTTTCTGCTAGAAATAGAATCATGTTCATCAGAATTTATGCGTGAACTGTCGTTGATAAATTCGTTAAATGACCTTAATGCTCCACTCACGGCTTCAAGGCTCTTCTGCTCTGAAAGCTCGTTCATTAAGGCATTAATTACCTCATGTACAGCATAATGTGTGCGAATATAAACACCACTCTCCTCCTCGTCTAGTAACAGTAACGAGCACCTTTGAATTCTCAAACTTATCACCTCACGTGTCTCCGTTTCTTTATCTGCAGCCAGAAGGTAATCGATCGCAAGGTCTAGATGCACGGGTTGCATTGCGCAAAGGGAGAGGAAAGTGAAAACATGACTAAGAATTCTGTCAGATGCCGCCATCGTTTCAATGGCTAACGATATTGCTGTGGTCATGGACTTTTGGTAGCATGGGTTGGTCTCAGCAAGAATAGCCTCAGTGGTACGCCGTTGGCCTTTGCTCAGTTTCTCGACATAATCGTTCCAGCCAATCTCTGCAGTTGCTTTGTTACGTCGCACCTGCCTTAGATAGGTTGCAGCGCTTGCGAGGGCAAGTGGCTGATAGTTCAGAGCTTGGGCAACTTCATTCTCCATTCTATCGTCGGAGAATCCAGAGAGGTTGGCTAATAATGAACAAGCATCACGAGGCTCCAAGCCCTCGCTTATAGAGACATGTTCAATAAAAGAGCTTGTGAAAGGGATGGATGCAGTGTCCTGCGTTGTGATTAATACCTGTCCTCGCACCCAACACTCATTTGCGGGAAAATGAGCATGCATAGAAGACATGCTCGTCACGTTGTCGATTATTAGAAGCCAAGAGGAAAAGAGCACCAGTTTTGGAGCTATTAACGTTTTTAGGTTAGCGATCTTCTCGTCCGTGTTAAAATCCCTGCAGTAGAGAGTGTTTGTAATCGCGTATTCCGGGCACTTAAGTTGTCGAGCAAAAGTAACATACGACTCTAGAAGCGCGGGTGAGCTTTCAGCATTTACTGTCATAACAAATGAAGGAATGTCGGGAACTTCTTGGGCTTCATCGAAATATCGCCTGGCCACAAGACCAGCCAACTGGGATTTTCCACTTCCAGGGTTGCCTGATATGTACAAGTAAGTTACAGAGCTTTCATTAGTTTTCTTCAGCCATTTAAGTTTTTGCGTAATTTGAACAACTTCACGGTCACGATTGGCGAGGTCATGTGAGGGTTTTGGAGGGAGAAAACAAAAAGAAGAAATGTCTCTCTGTAACTGATCTTCCAGGACCCGTCGCTGTTCTTCTATCTCTTTCAGTTCCATTTCAAGGTCGTCGATTTTTCTGAGCACATTTCGTAATTCGTCAGTACGAAAACTTGTCTGATTTCTGAGACCTTGAATCTGCGACGTAGAAAGACCAAGAGCTTGAAAAGCAGTTTGTACTTTGCTGATGGCACCCTGAAATTCCACGTCTGTGAGTTGACCTCGTGGCATGTGCGCAAACTGTTCGTTTCGAAAATTTTTGAGATCATGTACATTTGTGTTGACAGTCGTGGACAGACTGTAGATACAGTCGGAGAAGAGGATGGCGTAAAAAAGCATTGTACAGTCCCATTCAGCTGTATTCCCATTAATCATGGTGGCTAAAAGCCGGAAATTTCTTCTTTGGTTACGTGGGGATTCCCCATTATAAAAGTCCAATCCATTTTTGGGCTCATCTTTCCATTCTCCCTTTGTTGAATTATAGCGGTTGTCCCATTCTTGTTTAAAGACTGTTCGCAGACCATCTGCCAAAACATCAGTGGTAATGTAACAGATTCTGTAGTAATTAAGCTGTTCTGCAGAGTATTCTGTTACGCATGCCATATTTGGCTTAAAATGATCTTTTAATGAGTTCCGGGCCTGTAAACAATAAAAAAAATATAAGTAACTTTCCTCGAAGTTTAACCCTGTTGTGATATCTGGCGCGCATTAAAAAGCGTTTAATGGGACTAACACTTTGTGGGTTACTTGTTTAGTTGTGCCAGGTAACTGAAGAAAACAAAAAAGTAAAGGTCAATAACGCTGTTGATAAGAAAGTAACTTTAAGCCAATTTAGATTTCACAAAAAAGTAGTACGTATTATCATATAATCATCATTTGATCCTCCATCAAGCTCGTCATGTAAAAGATAAATTTACAGGTCAATAACGCTGTAGACATGAAAGTAACTTGAAGCCAATTGCAATTTATATTCTACAAAAACAGGTGGTACGTATTATCATGTTTTCAGCATTTCATCCTCCATCAAGTTGATAATCACAGAAATCTCAGAATTATAAGATTCCCTAACCTAGTTACTTTTCACCTTCCAATTTTCATGTACAGATATCATAATATTCTACCGCCTTCTGCTTTCCTGTCTCACATCAAAAAGGTATAGCAGGTACACAGTCACAACACACTTGGCTAAAAAACGGACTTATTATTTCATAAAAGTCAAAACTAACAATGGAATTTTAAATAACTGATATCAAGGACCCAAAATGTGGAATATCCTT